TGCAAAGAAAAATGATAAAAGACCTATTATTTGGACAACTGAAACTGATAAAGCATTTAATGAATGTAAAGACTCGTTAGCGTACGCTACGCTCTTGGCACATCCAAAAAATAATACATCTTTACTCCTTTCAACTGATGTTACTAACGTAGCTTGTGGGGCTGCGCTTCAACAAAGGGTTAACGGAATATGGGAACCAATAAGGTTTCTTTTCAAAAAAATTTACTCCCCAAAAAAATTAAAATTAAATATAGTACTTATGACCGTGAACTTACAGCTATATTTAAGGCTATAAAATATTTTAAACATTTATTAGAAAGACGAGATTTTACAATACAGACTGACCACAAACCGTTGACATTCGCATTTTTACAAAAATCAGAGAAAGCCTCACCGAGACAGCTACGACAATTAGATTATATTGGACAATTTTCGACAAATATAATTCATATTCCGGGATCTAATAACGAAGTGGCAGATGCTTTATCACGGCTGGACGTTATCAGTATGCCAGTCGTGGTAAGTACAGAGGAACTTGCTGAACAACAATTAAAAAATCCAGAACTATCACAGGCCTTGCAAGGCACAGTCCTACAATTAAAAAAATTAAAAATTAATGATCCAAAAGATTCAATTTATTGTGATATTTCAACAGAAACTATTAGACCATATGTCCCAGGAGCGTTGCGCAGAAAAATCTTTGACAATCTTGCACATCCCAGCGGCTGATGTACATGTGAAAGATGATAATTAAAAAAATTTATATGATAATTAAAAAAATTAAGATGATAATTAAAAAATTTATATGACCGGAGATAAATAAAGACATTTTGAAATTGGCAAAAAGTTGTGTAAGCTGTCAAAGAGAAAAAATAAGTAGACACATTAAAAATCCGCCTAAACATATTGCTGTTCCAGAGCGCTTTCAACATGTTCATATAAACATAATTGGACCGCTACTGATGATAGACGGTTTCAGATACTGCCTTACAATGATTGACAGAGTTTCGAGGTGGCCTGAGGTGATTCCGATTAAAGACACTAATGAGGACACGATTGTCACAGGTTTCTATGCCACATGGATCGCGAGATTTGGAACTCCAGCGACAATTACGACAGATCGTGGAGCACAGTTTGAATCACAACTATTTAATGCTCTTACAAAATTAATTGGATGCAGACACATCCGCACAACAGCGTATCATCCTACATCCAATGGAACGATAGAGAGGTGGCATAGATCCCTAAAAGCAGCAATCAAATATGAAAATCAGATCATGAAAATAAAAATTGGTTAGAAATACTCCCAACAGTCATACTTGGTTTGAGAAACAGTTACAAAGAGGATTTAAAAGCAACCGCGGCTGAAATAGTATACGGCACATTCCTGGAGAGAAGACTACTTGGAGAATTCTTTGTTTATACAGAAACACATAAACAGTGTTTTACACATTACAGTAGATAAATTTAGACGATACATGCAAACAATTCGACCAACACCGACGAAACGTCACTCTCGACGATCATACTTCATTTTTAATAAAATTTTTGATACGTCACATGTATTCGCAAGGGTAGAACATTTAAAACAACCTCTGGAACAGCCATATGAAGATCCATTTCGCGTAATAAAACATATTTCGGATAACGTATTTTTAATTGATTACAAAGGCAAAACTACTATATCGACGGAACGGTTGAAACCAACATATATAGAAGATACGGAAAATGAAGAACCACGAACTTATTCGCGATTACAAGTATCGTCTATTCTCCCTAACGTGTCGAGTGACTTGGAAGAGGGTATGTAGCGACGTCTATTCCAACGACATCTATTTCTCAGCCGTCTCGTCGAAGAGTTCATTTCAGATAAATTTACGGCGCCAACTGTGCGAAACTCGAAAACAAGAAATCATGTAAAAAGATCAATATTTTAACAAATTATCAAGGAGCTGTTTAATAAGTATCAAGAAAACATAACAAATTACCGAAGATGTATATATATATATATATATATATATACATATATATATATATATATATAGTAGTTGTTAAAGAATATAATCGACAGTCTACAGTCATCATTAAATTATCAATTAAAAGAGTATAGATAGTCAATTATAATTTTCATTGTACATTTAAATATTGTTAAATATTAATTATAAAAAAATAATAATAAAGTTAATATTTGTAGTACGTATTATATAAGATTATTGATCATATTTACAACGTCCAAGCCGGCCGACCGCCCAAGCACGTGGTAATGAAATGTCAAAAATCAATTTCTCTACTTATACTGATACCGATTTCAACGGGATTACACTCAAAATACTTGTACACTTTCAACGAAATAACCGCATCAGTATATGGTTGAATTTACGGTTATTTGTACACATATTCTAGACGTAGGCATGCGATGCACTGTCTTTTCTGTTTTTGCGCTTGTCATTCACACTTTGTATACAAAAATGCGGCCACTGATAGATTTTCGATAATACTATTCACTAATCACACGTTTACCATTCTTCAAACACTTTTTATTGCTTCTTTTCACGACGGTATACAGAGCGATGCGAACGCAAATACAGTTGTCGCCGCCATCTTGGCAACTTCCCTCACCGCGCGCAAAAGATTGAAAAACCGTCGAAAGAATGAATGAAAGATTTTTTCCTATGAGTGTTGATGCTGAATGAAATTCTCACGAGATATGCATGCTCAGAAATATTATTTCTGCGAGTGATGATGCTGAATGTGAATCTCGCGAGAGTATGCATACTCAGAGATATTTAATCCTACGAATACAAATCTCACGCTCGAAAATATTTTTCCTACGAGTGTTGATATTGAATACAAGTCTTCCGAGAATGTGCGTACTCGGAAATGTTTTCGCGAGCTGATGCTGCAAGTCTCACGGAGATGTGCGTGTTCAGAGATATTATTTCTGCGAACCGCGATGCTGAGCATGAGTCTCACGAAGCTTGAGACGAGATGAATGGGGCTTGAAAATCCAAAGTATTATAAGACTAAAATCCTTGGCAAGCGTGATTAATGTTCGGAGGCCTG